CCAGATGTTAGTATTTCTGTTTGTATATTTATGACCCCGCAGATTTAGTCTGAAGACCTTTAATGAAGTTATTTCAGAGTATAATAAAGACTCTGTGCTGGAGACAGAGTGATATGGTCCCATCTTCTTTATACGATTAGTTCATGTTCCACGTTAATTTGGTTCATCAGACCAGTGCTTCTCTAACAGAGTGGATCCGTCTGATTTATGAGGATTTACAGCTTTAATCACGTGTAAAGTTGTGACTTGTGACGAGAGCAGTTTAGGAATCAGCTGACTTTGGGTTGGTTTGTCTGACAGAGAATCATTTTCATTTTAAATAATCAGATTATTGAATAGTTGCTTCAGCTGCCGACCCTTTAAATAGATTCTGAGGAGAAAAAAGTTCACCAATAAAGTCCCAGAACCCGATAACGAGGCTTCCTCCTTCACTACATGCAGCACTTTTGTGTAGAAACGTGGACATTAATCGCACGGCTTCTTGTTTTTCTGCCGGTTACAGACAGTAAAGTTAGTTTCTCTAATTTAGAGCTCGGATAAAGGAGGTTTTTGGAGGTTTTGGAGGAGCCCTGTGCTGCTGGTGCTACCTGTTGGAGGAGGTTTGTTGACTTAAGGCTTCCCTCTTTTGTTATTTTTTCCTTCTGGAGACCTGAAATGGTAATAAATGGTTTTCTTTTTCCAAGACATATTTTTTAAATTATTTTTTTTTATACCAGCGTAACGTTTTGTCCTCTACATCCTCGTTGCAACAACAACACTCAATAAAATACAAATAAATAATTAATAATAATGAGGCTGGACCTGCTGCCTCCATCCAAGACATAAAACTTGGTTTCTTCTTTTCATTCACAAACTAACTTAACTAAATCTTTACTGAGGCCGATGGGAGTTCCTTTCAGGTCTCACTACATTTCTTTTCTAAAAATTATTATGATTTTAGCTCTAGTTTTAGTTTGAATATTGGTTATTGCCTAAACTACTCATGTGATCTTTTGTTGGTGTTTATTTATCAGAGCTTCTTGTCTGAGCTGTTTGGAGTAACTACAGAAATAAATGAATAATTTCATAAGGCACTGAGGGAAACTCTTCACTGTTTTGGTGTCTTCCGTTGTAACTTTGCATATCTATTTTATTTTTATTTTATTTTATTTTATTTTTTGGGGAATTTGCAACGATTTTTAAATAGAAAAAAGAAAAAGCTCACAATCACTCAAGCAAACACCGACTATTTGTATTTTGTTCTGTTTTTGTTTGGCGGGAAACACTTTATAACCAACCAGGAAGTAGAGGAGTGTGGGTCTCCATAGCAACAGGGTGTGTTGTCCCTAGCAACCGCAGCAGCGTCCTGGCCGCAGGCTAACGATTAGCACGGAGCTAAAACGGCAGAGAGCGTTAAATCTGTGAAGTCTTCAGTTCCGGCTCGGTAAGTCTAGTAAGGATGGACGCCGACTCGCTGTTCTTCTCTCTGGATGCGGTCGCCGGAAGCGGAAACACGCTGAGTCCGGAGCAGAGAGCCGCCCTGCAGAGCTCGCTGCTCGTCCTCCGGAGGAGCTACAAGTTCCGCAGAGTCCTGTTCTGGGGCAAAGTCCTGGGGCTGAAGCAGGACTACTTCATAGCCCAGGGCCGAGGGGAGGACGAGCTTCGGGACCGGAAGTACCTGTACAGGTNGACGTCAGAGAGCTGAAGCTGGTTTTTCCTTCCATCCGTCCCGTCTCTGGTCGCTCTCGTCTTCGTGTCCCACATGTGTGAGTGATTTCAGATCAAACCGTCTGCTGCTGCTCCACATCAGAGGAGCCGACGGCGGCTTCATGCAGCTTCAGGTGACTCGACTGAACAGAGAAACCGAATATCAGAGAAATGAATCTGCAGAACCTAAACGTCTGATTGCAGAACGGACTCGCCTCGTTAGTGGAGGACCTGCTGAGCGTGTGAAGACTAATTAGAAACTTTAGAGGAAATGATACCTTCATGGTTTGGACAAATAAAAACCGAGAGGAGAAATGAAAACACCCTGTTTTCTTTGTTTTCACTGAAAAAATTATGCAAAAAAAAATAGATTATTATTTTTTCTGGCTGGAAATCACAAAAATAAACGAGAAAAGAGGATAAAATATTGTGTTGATGACATTAATGATGCATTTTTCATTATTTTTACTTTTAAAACTAAAAATATCAGCAAATATCTGTATTAATAATTAAATTTTTACTGATTTAAATACAGTTAAATGGTGTGATTTTATTGTCAAATACGGTAAAAGAACCAATTACGTTTTTAATGCGGATATTATTTAAAGTTTTTGTTGTTTTCACTGTTTTTCTGTGAACTTCTTCGTTTCATCCGAGGCTTGTGGAGTTTAAACGGTGTGAATAATTCAGGAGGCGGAATTTTTAGTAAAAAATAAAAGTTGAAACAGTTCAACATCTTCCGTTAACACGTCAAGCGCAGTGTTTCAGTGTTGTTGGCCGCTTGTTTCCGGGCAGAACCAACCTACAGACGGGCCATAAATCACAGCGTGTCAGCAGGAGGAAGAGTTTGGGCCTTAAACCCACAGCTGGCCGTCAGAGCAGGAAGAACCGGGCTAAAATAAGACCAGAACGCTGAGGATCGGAGCAGCACAAACACACTGCCGAGGATCACCGGCCTGTTGTTCTAGTGAAACTGAACTCGGCTTCACGCTGCTGGTTCTGGAGACGGCTGCTGGACCGGAGCCAGAACAAACCAAACAACCGGTGTCCTCTCAGCGCCGCTCAAACAGGATCTGATCCCAGATCTGATCCCAGACCGGCTCGGCCCGGACGCTGGAGCTTCAAGAACAATCAGGGAAACTAATTAAACTAGTAAACGAGTGAAAGCTGTTGGTGGTGGTTCTACATGGGGACTGGAGCCAGCAGAGGGTCCAGCTGGAGGCTGGAGCTGGACGGTAGCTGGTACCGGACGGTAACCTGTAGCAGACGGTAACCGGAAAACATACTGGGAACCAGTTTAAAGAAATGGAAACATAATGGGAACCAATTTAAACACATGAAATATACTGGGAACCAATTTAAACACATGAAATATACTGGGAACCACTTTAAAGAGGCTGAAACACACTGGGAACCAGTTTAAAGAGACTAAAACATACTGGGAGCCACTTTAAAGAAACTGAAACATACTGGGAACCACTTTAAAGAGACTGAAACATACTGTGAACCAGTTTAAAGAAACTGAAACATACTGGGAACCAGTTTAAAGAGACTGAAACATGCTGGGAACCAGTTTAAAGAGGCTGAAACATACTGGGAACCGCTTTAAAGAGACTGAAACATACTGGGAACCAATTTAAACACATGAAATATACTGGGAACCACTTTAAAGAGACTGAAACATACTGGGAACCAGTTTAAAGAGGCTGAAACATACTGGGAACCAGTTTAAAGAGGCTGAAACATACTGGGAACCAGTTTAAAGAGGCTGAAACATACTGGGAACCACTTTAAAGAAACTGAAACATACTGGGAACCAGTTTAAAGAGACTGAAACATACTGGGAACCACTTTAAAGAG